CAAGTCAGAGCTGAGTATGCCAGTGCGTCTCCAACAGTTTCTCACAGTGGAAATGATGTCATCCATTTCAATGCCAAACGATTCAAGTGTTCGAATTTTGAAAAAGTCATCACCTTCCGATATGGTTGGATAATATAAAGTTTCAAAAATTATCAAGTTTACCCCGTTTCGTTTAAGGGGGGAGATCAGTATCTAAAAGATGTTCCATATGTTGACCCTGTGACATTTTAATATTGTTTTTTTATTTTCATTATTGTTTCATACTATAGACTAGTATTACTACATAGCAGTAATTACTATGAGCATTGTTGGCTAAATTGATTGCGACCCTGCCATGGCATCCACAATCGCTTGACACGTGGCAAAAAACTGATCCTGGTCGTCTTGGATGCGTTGTCTCTATCGGGATATATATATATATTATAAATCCCAATCAATCCTACTATAAGTCCCAATACATTTGTCCAAACTTATGATAAAATACTAACTGTCATGTGACTGAAATGGACACTGTCACATCGATAGGTATAAAGCTCATGCATCACACGTCCATATTCTAGCCCAAATCACACTGTCACATATACCCACCGCTTCCTCCAGGGCGGCGGCGGCGGCCAAATCGGCCACTTCGTCCGCTGGGATGTCGCTGGAACTGCCACCGATAGATGCGACGGATGCGGGGGTGTCTGCATTCCCATCGACGACATCATCCCCTTTGGCTGCTTGATCGAACGAAGTGTCCAACGCGGTATGCGCAGTTAGCACGGCTTCCCTTGCCTTGGACACGACTCTATAAGATACATTGAAGGACCCCGTTAATAATAATAATAAAAAAATAAAAATAAAACCGTCGACGCTTTTAATATGAGACAGAAATTCACGATCATCAACAAACAACATACATATATCGACAGAAACCAAGCATCGGCAGTTGAATTGAGCCAATCAGATTGCATGAAATGGACATATGGATGGTCAACATCGAAATAGTGTGAGAGACTTGAATTAGTGTGAATGCAAATATCCCCACAAGGACAATGCTTTGAAATACACCATTTACCGTTCAAAGAAATGATCGATAGTATTGGCAAAGCAGTATATAAATTGTCCAAATTTGGGGTCAAAACGACAATAGATTTGATATACAATTTTTTGGGGACGGGGTGCAATCGAATCGCCCAAATCGATCCACAATCGATCTGATTGGTTGAATTTCATTGAGATAGTTTTGATTGGCTAATAATTTTCTGGGGTAGCCAATCAAATCGATTTAAATTCCAACGAGAAACCATGCCAACAACACAATGACATTTCACTCGAAAGCACAATATAACTAGCATGAAGAATATTATATACTGTGTATAATGCATATTTTAATCATATACTAGTACAAGACTTCGCAACAGCGTCCTATGTGGTCGTCCATATATATACCTTATATTGTTTGCAAAGGAATCTTAAATCCAAAACACTACAGGACACATACTTTTGAAAAATAGCACGTGAATATATCACTAGGTGAAAAATATATTAAAAGGGAAAACGACGATATATATATGAATAGTGTTCCATAGCATGAATAAAGTACTTCTTCGAGGAGACATATAAAATATATATATATATATAGTGGTGAACGTACTGTCGAATCTCGGCTGTGGCATCCTTCCGTTCCTGGATCTGTTGCTTGAGCAAGTCGATGAGAGTTTCTCGCGCCTATGGTGTTGTTCATGGAGGGCGTAAGGGAACGATTATGGAGCTTCCTTGGGAGATAAGTTCATGGCAACCTGATGGGGACGGTATGCGTTGATCAGATTGTGCATGTTGAGGAAGAGTTGTTCGATGTCGTCCAACTTGGCGCTAGGATCTAACGTGATGATGGTGGAGGGGAACTACAACTACGTACTTGAACTTGGTGGGATTCAGAATGAGCACGTCCACCAACTCGAGGAAGCTGTACATGAGAGATCGGTTCACTTTCTTCATCTCGTCTTTCACGTTGTGGTCCGTGGCGTATAGCTTCTTGTCGTCCGGGATGAGGTCCGGCACCGCATCTTCCGTGCTGTACGGCGTCCCAAACGAATGGTACGTTGGTTTGAGGGGAGGTGGAGGTGGAGGGCCTGCATCTGGGCCGTCCGCGTACAGACTCACGAAGGCAGGCGGCGCCGGGAAGGCAGACACAAGCTCCGGTTCCTCTGGCTGATTCATGTTGGCTTTGCGTTAGAATGGCAAAGTCTGAGAAATGGTTGCGTTTGATTGGTTAAAATATTTAAAATTGGATTGGATTGGCTAAAATGTACAATTTGCTGATTGGATGTAAATGTTATTGCTCATGATTAATTCAAGCATTTGATTGGATAATGCCTCCTCATTCCGTTCACATACAAAAACTCCAGCTAAATGTCGGGGCAGCTTGTCCTTCCTCGATTTCCAGTTGCATTTTAAACCCATAAGGAAGTAGTACTTTGTATTACAGTGTATACTTGCTCACTTATGATAGTATAGCGCAGTGTACAATATACAGTATATACAGTAACGTAGGTGGCCAGTTTATGGTGCATTTGAAAGAGACTTCGTCGTAGAATGCAGCTAACTCGTCTCCCAGGACCGGGATTTCAATTCTGAAAAGTGCTGCATGAAGCCGAAAGGTTGGGCATTCTTCTGATTATGTAATCGGCGTGACAGTGATTAGAGTTCAGCTTAGCGTTCATTTACTTCGATTCCACTCAAGTCAAGGCAAACCAGGAGGGACGGTTTATGGTGCACGGTTTAAGCATAAAATATGTATGCTGCTCTTGCAAGTATTTTTTAGTGATATCATTTTTCTAGTGATTCGATTGGCTACTCCACAAATCAAGCAATTCCATTGGCCAATTTGAGTGCACCTTAAACTATTTGGCATTTATAAAACCCCAGTGAATTAGCTAAATCACCAGGTATTTATTCAAGTTTGTAACACAGTTACAGCAGAAGTACCACTCTTTTAGCCACGTAAAACCGATGCCAAAAAAAGTGCAAAGCACAATACGTTATACTATCATAAAGTGAGCATGGCAGCATATCTTTACAATGAGATTCACGTGACCCCACTCGCACCTCCACATTTCAATTGTTTATCTTTATGCAAGTTTGGAGAATGCTATTATTGATTTGGTACGGACCCCATCACGAATCGCTCCCATTGGTCAATCTGAAATTAGTCTACGCTGATTGGCTACATTGTTTCCAACGAGAGATCACGGCGAGATTTGGGATCGGTTTTATAATCGAATCGTGCAGCATTCGGAAGGTTGTACCAAGTTCATCATATCTAAACATCGAAACATCACTTTACGCATTTGTAGTAGTAGTTAGCAGTAAGAACATCTCCACATCGACCCTGTAAATAAACAGACCGCGCATTTCGAGGACAAATCGCACGTCTTGGAGGGTCGCAGTGGAAATTGCTCTAATTTAAAGTCAATACTGCACTACTACTGTGCTGGACGACGAAGTAGAACCACACGTAATGGGTTTTATTCATTGATTTGAAGTACAGCACTGTACTACTTACTACCTACTGTGATACTCCGTGCATGTCGTAACCAAACAAATATTATTATAAAAGTGCACTCTATATTTTAATGCATTTGGAACACCTATGCGAGTTTGGTTCCTGGCTTGAGCATGTTCTCTTGGAAGGTTGCGTTCGCGATGACTTTGCCGTAGCCACCGACCCACGTTCCCTTGGCCGCGTGCCACAACAACTGGCCCCGCGTTCGAATTCCCCACTTGACGCGCCTCCCCCTAAACTCCATAACCTCTCAAAATTGATACTTCTTCTTTATTTGTGTTTATTGCACGACGTACCGCAGCACTTTGCCCACTTGGGCAACGAACTCCTCTTCAAACACACCGTCAATACCGAGCACAGTAGTGAACGCAACATGGGTGGTCTTGGCGGCCCGGAGCTTTTCCTTGCGGCGGCGCTCGCTCGCGAGCCTAAAGTTCTCGCGCTTGGTCGCCATCATGTCCATATACAAGTGCTGCATGTCGTGGTCGACGCAGTCTGGCCACACTTGCTGCACGGCCGAGACGAACCTACGTCATGGATACCGAAAGACCGTCGTTACATTGATTTGGTGCTTTTCACCAAATAATCTGCCAATTTTGTACGATTGTATGAAATCACCAAGCAAATATATATATATAAATCTACATATATACAGAAAAATGAGCCATGTACCCGTCCATTTGCAGCAGCAGGTTGGACTGGTGGGTGCCGCTTGTAGCCATAAGCACCTCCCGAAACGCGCGACGGACCGTCGCATCCAACTCGAGCTCAGCATTGCTCCACTGAAACAGCACATATGACAGCACCCAGTCCAACTCGACCGAGCTCGCGTGATCTCGATCGTGTTCGTTTAGGTCGTACTCGACCTACAAACACAAAATATTTAGTTTATATATATATATACATGGATATTACGCTGTAAAGTATAAATCGCTCAGCGGGCACTTAATATATATATATTTATATATAAATGTCACTCGAACGAGAGTGTGGAGTTGGCAAGGCATCCAAACACGGGACTTTTGATCAATAAAACTCTCAATCCTTCAAAATATTATCGCCACCCAAACCATTCGATTCGACATTCGAATAATACCGAGTGAGAGCAGCCAGACAATCGATCGACCAATCAAAACCCAAAACACACAAATTCTAGTACCCAATCATCGTCTCGCTGCCACCACGCAACCTCGAATTAAATGCGTGACTTATTTATATATTATTGTGACTTGGGTGAATATTTGCTTGCATACCAAAAATTCTATACAAGCAATCGATGGATGTGGCGAATCAATCCGCACAGAAATCCATATTTTGGCTGAAAGAATGTCAATATCATTGAATAGGGATGAAATATCCATGTTTAATATTTTCCAGTCATTTTCATGGCCTTTTAGAAAGTACCTTGGTGAGGACATCAGGAGCCATGTATCCAAAGTGAGTTTTCCATACAAACACAACGACTTCTCGCGTCACCATCACCGGTCCATCGATGTCCTATCGTCCGATATATTATTATATTCTCAGAAATTATTAATATATAACTTCGTACCAACACTGATTGCAGCGACGGCACCGTTGGATCTAATTCCAAGACATCGCCCAGAAAGTCGAGCATCGTGGCAAACCCTTCGTCTGGCAGGTACGAACACAACGCCTCGTCGGGAAATATATTTAAAAATCGCCCAAATAGAAAAATCCGCCCGTCGTCCCACGCCAAATTGCCTGAAAATATACATATATATATATATTATATTCATTCTTAAACATATATATATATCATTCTTAAACATATATATATAAATATTGTAGACAATGCTATATCGTGGATTCTAGAGGATAATATTATTACAATCGATATCGATAGATACTACGTACAGCCACTTTTATCGCTCTCGTACCGCGCGGAAAAATTGTCAAGTTTACGCCGGGCGTATATGACACTTTTGACCAACTCGACCAGATGAAAGTCTGTGAGCGATTTCAAGCCGAATTTAAACATGAAAAATTCACGAATTGACAACGCAAACGACAGGTTGGGTTTCGTCCGTTCGTTGTCGAGTTTACGAAGATACCTATGCGCATGCATTGACATAGGCAATAGCGTGAGCATATATATATATTTATAAGAGAAATCCAGTGATAGGTTGCATAAACCGTCCAAAGCAACCAACTAGCAAGAACATTTAGATAGCCCAGTCGAGGACTCGAACCCCCTTCATGATAGTGGCCTTTGGGGTCATAGAAACATTCATATTATACATGGATGATGGGAGTGCAATGCAAAGATAATGCACACTGGAGAATACGGCGATGTATTTCGTCGATATACAAGAGAATTAAATTGTCTAATCGATTCGACACTGGAGCCCTCTAGAGAATCAAATGTCTTACGGGAATGGTTCACAGTAAAGAACCACGTCAGCCAATCAAGTCGCGTCGATAAGAGTTTCTAAACCTAGTATATAAAGGTTTATTATATACTTTATCTAGAATATATCTGCGAATCCAAACTTCAGCCCAACCCGTCAAAGCAAAACAGGCATGAGTATTCCGTTTTGTATCGTTTGTACAAGATTAAATATTAAAACGAGATTTGATCAAACGAGTTTGAAGTACAAATCACACAAAAAAATACTAGCATTCCACGCTGCACCTGTATTATTTATCGTTGATGTGCACCATGAAATATTAAACGTGGATATAATAGTCATATAATTCCATAGAATCACAAATAAACCATACAATTGGAATATTGAAGTTAAATATGATCAATTTGAATTATATGGGTCAAAGTAACGACGTCGACGAATACGTTGAGATAAGAACGTACAGTGTGAGGATGGTGTGGCCCAGCGAATGTTTGGCGAGCATTTTATGGACTTTGGGCACGGTGTCCAATAACGATCGAATACACGATGGAATTGCGAGGATTTTCTTGCGCATGCGGGGGCTTTGCAGGGATTCTATCCTTGCCATTATTGGTACCTTGTGTTTCTTCTAAACTGGAGCGAACATGGAGAATACATCGACACGTCCAAAGAAATGTATAAAAGAATCAACAGAACGGTTGAAGAAGCCAATCAGATTGCAGGAATTCACCATTAACGTAGAATTATTGTATGACTTCAATTAGTCTGATATTCAATCACCATGGGACACCTTTGTACATACAAAATTCATTCCAAAGCATCGATCGATAGATTTGGCGATTCAGCACAAAAGTCCAAAGTTTTGGTAAATGATATAGTAGACAATATATGATACGGGTCAGTCTGGATGCCCATATAGGCTCAAATCTTTGGTATTTATGGCCATTTCTAATCAATCGGCAAAATATAAAAATTTCTCAGTCTGGATCCAAATAATTGGAGAATTCAAACTTTTGCCAAATATCACTCTTTTATACTACCTTTGCAGCAATGTTTGGCCAAAAATAAAAAAAATGGTTCAAAGGACTAATTTTTTTCTGAAAGTTGGCAATAACTGCGAATCGTCGAGTGTCGTACAAATGAGCTTGACTCAGACAGTTAAAACTAGGTGAAAACCATAGGCTTCGAATTAGTTTGCACATAATATTAATCGAGCAAAAATGGGTGTGTGTGATTCAGACCTTCCCGAAGCATATGTTGTATATGGTTCGAATGCCAGTATCAAATAGCACAAGGATGGAATAGGATCGCAAGCCATCACATGTTTTCAAAATCATACCGGTAGCAAATATTTGTAGTCAAATTGGTCAAAATACACAGCTATCCCAATAAGGTTAGATACACGTAAATTTATATATATATATATACATCGATATATGTGTATACGTAAATATGTAGATATATCGAACCGTCCAGTTCTGATTGGCGGTCGGTGTCGTCATCGCCGTGCGTATTGCTCAAGTCGTCGGTTTGTGTGGCTTTGGCTTCGAGGCAAAACTAATTCCACGCTCATGATACAATGCATAATAAACCCACCAAAATAAATGATAGATATATAATATATATGAAAATACTGCCGATCGAGCACATATATCAATACTTTACGATGAATATAAATCATGTATCGGATGTCTATCGATTATATATATATATATGACGTATCTTTACAGTTAGTAGGTGCACCATTGACTGTCGACAAACAAACCAAACGCTGGCAGGTTGGTTATCCATTTTATCAAATTAATACAATTTCAACGGAAAAGCATAATTTCATTCTGTTCATATTGGACACTCTAGAACCCGAACGACCACTATAACGATACATATGATGCCACTATTATCGTTTCAGCCAAAATCCATCGAACTCGTCGATCGATATATGTATATATGTACTGAATTTTGTATGTGGCAAATATTGTCGCCCGCCTTCCTTCACACAAATTTATCATTCACACTACTATTGTTCATGCGAGAGTTTCATTGGCTCCTCGATTCATGGTGTGTGTGTTTGATTGGTCGTATATCGTAATTGACTGTTGCTGTGGAGCGGCTGAGCACTCGAATTATATTAAAATTTTGACAATCGCAGAGAATAATATATCAATGCACTCATATGTATGGTACCATTTTCTATGTATATATATATGGTACCATTTTCTCGACAAACGGATTGCGGTGGGTGGTCGCCTGATGCTTCCACAAAATGGACACCAAATTTGAATCCATGTACCGATCCAGGTTGCCCAGGGTAGTTAGTTGGCCACCAGTTTCTTGATCGATTGCCATAAACAGCTTATCGAGGTCGTCCACCACTGATTCCAACGGCGTCACTTCGTGGTATTGCTACTTGTATAATATATTAATTTGATACAAATAGTTTCCCATTGAACGCGATTCGAATGCAAAAACCGAGCACACAGCACACAAACCAATGTCATTGGTGTTTTCCAGAAAGTAAAGCGAAAAAACAATAGATATATATAGCCAATCAGCGACAAGAAACGTCCAATGGACCAATTGGAGCAAGCGATCGTGACGATCGGGTGTTTATGCGATTGTTAATAAACTGAGTCCGGACATTCGTACCATATCATTACGATAGTAGTTGTCAGAACTATGGTTATAAAACCAACATCTCCCTCGATATATATTGCGATATATTCGGCACAAATATTTCCAGACCCCGTCGAATCGAATCACAAATCGAGGTTATTGGCGGCTAATCCAATTTTAAGTGGATTTGATTGGCTCGAAAGGACATGTATATTCAACCAATCACAACTCCAGCGCGATTCAATACTGATTCGACAAACCACTCGAAGTTTTGAAAACATTTGTAGCGAAAAATTCACCATATTTTTCATTTGTAGTTGGACGTCCATTACTACTATGATGGGCAGATGGTATTATACCATAATGTCTCCATGGCGAATCAAAAACCCTTGAGCTTCCATCTCGTCGTCTTCGTCCGAGTCGTACGGGTCGACTGTGCTGCCATTCGCTGCACTTGTCACTCGATCCAAGATCTTTTCTAGCCGTTCCTTTTCAAACACCGCGCGTCCTAGACGTCGCTGCATCGTTTGCATCTATATAAACAATTAAAAAATAAAAAATATAAAACGATTCGGTGATTATTGCGATTGAATTCATAGAATGGAGGATATGGATGCACTTTAAGTACACAAACAACGTCGATAACACATTAATCTCCAAGATACGACCACGAACTAGAGATTAGCATAGTCAATGAATTATAAGGATACCAATTTCACAACTTACTCGGGTATTTGTGCAAAGACACAAGCTGTATGTTTCACGTCCTGCATGGTCACCACAGTCGAATAAATACAACATTTTATCAAGGTTTGTGATATATTATTATTATATCGGCATCACATGTTTTCATTCGCAAATTTAACATATAGTTTTGGCAAGTCCATATACGGGAAGCGTCGAAATCTAAAACTATTAATTAATAAAACTAGAGTTTCCCATTTCTTGCCAGAATGACTCCAACTATAATCTAAAGCTCATTCAAAATCGTCTATTTGGTGATAGTTGCATGCCAAGAATACCCTATCTCAAAGGATTACCTCGGCTTTGGTTTCACGCAATTCGCCTTTTAACGCGTCGACTGTGGCTACGAGAGCTGCTACATGTGCAGATTGATCGCTAGCACACGTCTAGAATCTCGTCAGTTTGCAAGTACACATCAATTGTTTAATATATATATATATATATATATATATATATATATATCTTACTTGACTAAACCTGTTGAACTGGGCAAAGTCCTCCTTCACTTGGAGCTTTTCCTGCACGGAGGCTTGGCACACCTTTAACAGCAACAACACGTTCACGGACGCTACGTCCCAGATCTATTTTTATTGTCAAAAAAATTATAATAAATCAATTTATATATACAATTATATATATACAATACATATTTGTTTCTATATATACGTACATATATAAATATATGTATCGCATAATTTATAATATATATATTAATTGATACATTGCATATATATTCAGTATATGTATATATATGCAATGTATCAATTAATATATATATTATAAATTATGCGATATATAAATTTATATATATATAATATATTAATTATGCGATATATAAATTTATATGTGTATAATATATCGGTCTATATATATATATATTTTTTTTTGACAATAGATCGTACTTCGGCGACGAGTTTGCAATGCTTGGGGGAGTAATGAGCCATGTGTTCGAGCACTTCGCGAAGCAAGCCAGAGCACTTGGCGTGGTACGTCGAGCATGTCTTGTGCGCGCTCTTGATGGACGCGTCCGACGTGAGCGATGGGAGGGCGGCCACGCCCTGCGCGATGAACGTCTCCAAGCCCTATGAATTGGGACTGACGTTAAGGCATCACATGCATATATAATATATATATATATATATGGGTGTGTTACTTTGAGCTCGTGGCTCATGATATGATGCATGCTGCCGCTCATGAAAGAGGCGGTGGAGTGTCGAAGAAAATGAAACGCCAATGATGGCAGTTACATGTAACGGTCCGAATCGACGAGTTTTGAATGCGAAACGGTTCCATATTGGACTTTCATGTGGATGTATTTTAGGTTGTACTAGCCAATCCAAGGACAGTAATGGGACATTTGAACCAATCGTCGACCAGTACAGATAGTTTGGCCCAATCCGAGTGTTCATCGTTAAATTTGTACATTACCATAAATAGAATAATTTGTTTTCATTAAATATATTTATTTTTTATTGCGAAAAGGAAAGGAACAACTCCATGCACTACCCAGCCAGTATTGTCCTATTAGCCAAAAAAATTGGCCTTTTGTGCGGATTTTGACAAATCCATCGATCGATTTTTTGCACTGACTTTTGTATGCAAAAATTGTCCAGCAGTGCTGCATGTCACACTAATTTAAGTCACACACTAATTCATTGTCGTTTGGTTGAACGGATGCTTTCCTGCAATCGGATTGGCTAAACTCTTCTGCCGGCTACAGGGAACGACGCTGAGTAGCGGCGTGATGAGGAGTTGTGATTGGACAGAGACGCGGTTCGAATTGACCAATTGAGGCTCACAAAACCAAAATATAAAAGAAGTATCGAATTAAAAAAATGAGCTTTGAATATAAGATTACAAAGGATATGAATATAAAGAGTAATTAGTACTAGGAAGACATCGAAGCCATGGTTTTCAAGTCCTCATTCTTGCAGGAAACTAATTATCACAAGGGATCAAGGTCATAAAAATGCCTATTACACATATTGCATTACAACGCTGTGACAGACACATGGACTGGATTTGCACCCCTCATGGGGACGAACAAAATGTGATATGACCCCTTATAAAAATACTACAATTTAATATTCTATTCAAGTAAAGAAAAAAGTATACTGTATGGGTCAATGGAACTACATGCCATAGAATACACAACTCAATGGAACTACATGCCATAGAATACACAACTCCCCTCCATAATTGGTCCCGAGTTAGCCGGTCATTACAGCTGCATGTCGAACAGTCGTGCCTTCAGCTAAGCGTACGACATCGAGCTTTTGGGTGAGCGTCGGTCAGTGTCGAGGCTTCGTTGGCAGCACTGTGGCTGCAGGTAGCACTGACATTCAAGGTTATCAAGTAGTGGGGTGGAAAGTTGTTTAACTTGTGCTGGGAAAAATTCCGCCAATCATAGTCGAGGTAACGATATCGATGATTATAATTGGCTGATTTGAAAATTTATTCCCGCGCCGTTACTCAGCGTCGTTCCCTGTATTCGTGGGCACATTTGTATGTTTGTCGATACATTTGACACGTCGGTCTTTGAGTTTAGAATAAACATATCCATATAATTTAGGACGTAAATTGTATGTACACTTGCGCAAGGTTTTAAGGCCGGTTCTGTTTACTATATAGTAGTAATGAGTAACCTGCGATAGTTATATGTTTTATTAATCTCACGTACGACTATAGTACAGTGTTGGCTTCATCGTTCCGTGATTGTACCATCGAAAATGAAGATTATTCAACTTGCCTGATTTCGTACATAGTCTGACACCCCCATAGACGCCATATATTTGACTATATATATATATATATATATATATATATATATATAGTCAAAACGTTAACATGTATCACCTGTACATATAATCGACTGCTCGTAAATCGCAAACGATTTCCGCCCTTTGCATTCTAGCAGAACATATATACTGCAGACCCCCATGTAATCACGTTCACATTACAGACAAATCCCTCGTCACGCTTCTTGGGGATACACGGTCGACATATTTTGATGACTACACCACATGGCAAACGCACGACGAGCCGCTTCTGCCTATGCATTCCAATTGTTATTTCGTCAGAATGAACCGTTTTCAAATATACATATATAATCATACTGTCGTCTGACTAATCATCTACAAATATATATATATATATTATATAGTGATGGACGTACGTAGCGGACGTCCCGTACAAACAACCGAACATTCGACTCCATGAAATACTTAGGGCAATGCATGGCATAGGTGGTTTCGTGCAGTTGAAAACACGTAGCAGATGTCGTCGCATGTTTGCGAAAGAACCGCATCGCATGCATCGGGTCCTTGTGTTTTTGGCCAAAATGAACGCTATTCATTTCCACGATGAGCTGCGTGGGGTTGACCCCACCACCGCTTCCCATGGCGGCAATTTCGAGCTTGATTTGCAGCGGTGTCCGCGCCTTGGAGTGTGCCGTTACTTGCGTCGTCCCAGCCCACTTGTACAGTGGTTTTGTGGCAATTTGGTTTAAAATCGCTTGACTTTTGGCCAATTTTGGGTCATCGCTGGTTTCAATCAACGCCTACAGACGATATAATAATAAAAAACAGGTAAGAGACACATCCATGGGGGGTGGTGATGGGATGTAAAGCAAGCACGGGATGCGGTAATACTTTATGATTTGTAAATAGCATAAGAATTAAATATGATATCAATAATAGTTGCAATGAATCTCAAAATGACGACTGGGTTTATAAAACGATTCCGAGATGTGGTTTACAAACTAGGAGTATCGTATTTTTTTATTATAAATCCGTACCAAGATTCGGTCGTCCAGGCACTTGTACGCGTTCTACAACATGAAAACAAAGAAGCATATTCATTGACGAGGTGTATATATAGTACGTGATATATGTAGTGATATCTTAAGCCCTTACCATATCCAACGGAGCTTGAGCTATACGCGCTCCTCGAATCTACCAACCAAGGCAAGATAACTCACTTGTCCAAATAGACTTGTTCAGTTGATTGATTAGTACGCACCCGAAAGTCGGCGATATCGGCTTCGAGTAAAATGTCGCAAATCATGTACTCAATTGCCCGCGTTGCCTACAACACACCCACAATATATATATATATATATATATATGAGAATTATATATATATTTGAGAATTTTTAAAATACAGTGTTGCAGAATATCTACCCAAATCGTTCAATTAACATACACTTTTCCAACATATTGCAGTATGGATGCATCCCCGTCAAAACATGATGCTCCCATTGAGCGTTCATATCGATCCATCCAATGATGAAAGGTACGCACCATTCACATTTCCACCCATAAAATACACACAATATACTACTACGTAAACAAATTAACTCTTGAACGATATGCGCCCTTCCAAAACACCTCACATGGCCTACTTAGACCAATTTTTTATTTGAGAGTGGACTTATAAAAAATATTTGTGTTGCTCTTCCGTTTCAACAGCAAAAATCAGTGTCTGAAAATGTAAATATGCCTGCCATTCTCAGGGTTATATATATATATATGGTACGCTGTAAACACGAAAAGAACGTCGGTGTCTGAAAATGTAAATATGTCTGCCATTCTCAGAGCTATATATATATATATATGGTATGCTGTAAACACGAAAAGAACGTTCTGAGGGAGGAAGGGTGTTTGCGGTGGTGCCTCCGATCGCACAAACATCGAATGCGCAATAAATATACTGATGATTGTGAGGCAATACTCGCAGATTCGACAGCCAAAAAATCGAGACATGGTTTTACAGTAGTCGTCGCCTTTCAATCGCGTACACATATCCACCAAACAATACTCGTTCTTCCTTACCTTGTGCTGATACACAGCTTGATGGAGATCATATCTCGTGCGAAACACCTTCATGACTTGTTCGGCCATTTTGTCAGGCCAGCACATGGTGAGGACGCCGGTCGTGGCGTCAGGCAAGACGCGCATGGTCGACAGCAGCAGGTGCGTGTCGCAGCTGGCTTTGGCGCCCGTGTACTGGGCATCTCGCATGAAATAGTCTAATTTATCCACGTCCAAGCCGGTCTTGGCGTTGTTGACGACTTCGTACAGAAACGGCTTGGTTGGCCGGCCGGTAAACAACTTGGCAGAGTGTTTCCCGACGGGATGGCCCAATATAAGTTCGCGGATAAAGTCCAAGTCGATGGCTTCGAGTCCGTAGGCCGTCACGTCGATGCGATACTCGACCAGCAGCGCGTTCAACATGTCCAATGACCCTTGCTCGTGGGTCCACCCACGCATGGCGGGATAGTCCAGCCCGCGCTCGTGCAGTTGCTGCATGAAAATGCCGTCATATACGTGACTGAATGGGCCATGACCTATGCAAACGTAAGGGGTTCATAGGAGACAGCATGGTTGCCAATTCCTTGGCCAAAGTAAGTACAACCCATCACAAGGAGCAAGGAATGTTATATCTTTTGTACACGTTACAGCGTATACTGTATGTAGGCCATATATAGCTCGATACTTCAACGGACTGTACGCAGCATGTAAATACAGTTAAATACTTTGAGTGCACCCCGGCCCGTCCCTGAAATATTATAATATTCAGGCCCAAAACGCCATTTTGGGGCCGAATTCAACAAATTTGATCAAAATTGAAATCTTGTCTTGCTTGAAGAGTTTTAACCCAAATCACTAAATAATTCCACGTGGGATTTACTCGTTAAGGAGGTCCGAAACGCCATCTTAATACAAAATGGACGACCTTTTACCTCGATTTTGAAAATGACGTTTTTGGTTTCATCCCATTTTGCCAAAAAATGGAATATTATTTTTGAAAAGTTAGCAGACTGGCCCTAAATCTAATAAATCTCATGAAATATGTTTCTTGATTGGAGAGTTTTAACCCAAATCCAATAATTCCATGTCGGATTTACACGAAATAGGCGAAAATAGAGAGAAGCACGTATTAGTTAGTAATGACAATGAAATAATATTATGAAAACACAAAAGATTGTTGAATTACGACATAAATACTTGAGCATATATAATAATGTATACCATCGTGGTGAAGGACAAGACCAGAACGAATGTATGTATACGTGGAAGCGTGGGGGCGTACCTAGATCATGGCACAAGCCTGCAACTTTGACGCACAGGATATCTCGGTCGGTGATGTCGAGCCAAGGTTGATGCAGGCGCAACTGGGTAAGCATCACCTCGGCCAGGTGCGCGACACCGACGGAATGCTCAAAGCGGGAATGTGTCGCGCTCATGTAGACAAAGTAGGATGCGCCCAATTGCTTCAAGTGGCGCAGTCGTTGAAACTACTGACACAACATCAAGGTCAGACGATGCAAGCAAGAAAGGACGTGGCAAGGCATACGTGGACGGTGTCGATGATCTCCATGCAGAGAGGTTCGAGGTAGATGCAACCGTGAACGCTGTCCTTGATCTACATCAAGACAACGAGAGAGGATAGGAAGAAACCATGAAAGTTTGAAGGAGTAAGGGGATAAGCACGAGAAAGGCGGTACCATCTTGCGCGTTTCCAACGGACTTTGGGACTGCAACTCGGACGACGACTGATCATCTACCATGGTGTACGTGTCAATGCTTTGGACACACGGGATGCCCAGATCAAAGAGAGGGGGATCAAGCATGTTGCTCTCTTGGCTCGACCCCGCTTCTCCGTCCGTGTCGTCGGTCTGCTCACATCGTTTCACGCGCTTCGTCGGCATCTCATACTCCGTCGAGGAGCCACTACGTCCCCCTGGATTCTTAGATGCGCCCAGCGGCGTTCCCTTCGTCCCGACCGTCGACGGCTTTCTCTGGTGCTGGACCCATTGCAGGATCGTTCCTTGCGATGTCATGATGGTCGATCGCGGTGTTTTCGACAAATGTATGCACTGTCAGAGGGAATCAACCCTCATACCCATTAATATTTATTTTCACGAGAAAATATAAAAATAACCTCGCAGTTTGAAGTAAAACACTGGAGAAAAAAATGTTTTTTTTACTTTGAAGAACGAACTGTGGATTTTATACAGGGCACAAATTGTCACAGCCGAGATCTATTTTTAGAACAGGATAAAAAGTGTACTAGTACCGTGTAATGTTATTAATACTTCGAAGTATTAATACTATTAAAATATTAAAATAGTATCTGTACGGTATAAAAATACCATGAGCGACATGATGTATCTCCTCACTCTAGCATGGTTAAGGACTAGCTGATGACTTGTAAGGAAGGATTGGTTGAAAAAATTAGCCAAACTTATGGGAGATAATACGAAGGAGGAAGTCTTCATGTGCGCTATGTAAAAGTGTAGGATCTGTACAGTACCAACACAGAGAATGGCGTGGCTCGTGGGCGTGCCACGTCATACCGGTTAGGTGGTACTACAGTGTACAACTAATTCAAGTATAATAACGTAGCAAGGGGGTACTGTACTACGGTAGTATTTACTTCTAATGTGCGTCTTATGTGAGGTGTCCAATGTGCAGTACTGTACTACTTCGAACTACTTCGAAGTAATAATAGTAGTACAGTAGTCCCCCAGAATAGGGAACCTTTGATTCCGATACGTTTTAAGAGGTATCACTACTGCTCAGGTATAAAACTAAAAAGGTATTTTCGGTAGGGTTCCTTGCTTCTGATTGGTCAATGTACTCGGATTGAAAAATCGACATCATTTTCGAATTCAGGAGGGGGTTGATATCCTAGCTTACAGATGACCATGACGATGTCCATCCGTCATAGGATTGGTGTGTGGCGAGCATTGCATCTTATTGAAATATTTGACAAGCTGGTTGAAACGGCTGACGAAACTGAATAAGAGAATTTCGCGTCACTCGTGAGCACTGCTCGAAGTTAGTCTGCTGGAAGCGTTGGAGTGGGCCAAGGAGGCTTGGCAATGTGTGACGCAAGTCACTATTGTAAATTGTTGGCGCCATACTGGTATTGTTGACAAGGAGGTTTATGAGTTGGTTGATAGTATGCATAACCTTTAAAAAGAATGAAACGTGTTTGTGTTTTGTCTTCAGGAGGTTGCCACCGTGACATTGTCGATTGCCGAATTTAGAGGGTCACGTGAAAGGCCAAATGCTAAACGAGCCCATCGACGCAACTCAACTCTTTTCATGGCAGCGCGTGACGCATGCTGCTTTAACAGTGTACGCTTCTGCTCGATTGTCAATCGTAGCCGCGACAACGGCGACGGCATGCTGAGTTCCAAGTGTGAGTGTCGCCAACAAGTGTTACATTATTTGCTGGTTAATTTAAAAGTCGAATGTACCTCTCAGATTTTATGACTGATTTGCACGCAATATTATGTTTTCTGAGAGGATATAGATTTATGGTGGGTTCCTTATTCTGGGGGACTACTGTAGTACTGTAGTACAGTATACTATTAATAGGTACTAGAAGTATGTAATCAGTACTGTACTAACTTAGTACAGTTTACATGTCCTGGGAACTGGGAAAACACTCAGAAGCGTTGTACCCAAGTATTTTTATTCGTCTGATAAACTCATATCATTGACAGTGAAGATATACAGTACTACTGTATTAGTACTCCAGGAGTAGTATTTATGAAGAACGATCATTGTATGCATCCGAATTGAATGATTCCACACTGACGTAGCGAATACTGGTGGCCATTGGAATGATTCAATTGTGCGAGCAATCTGCCGCAGCTATATGTCTGGCAAGACCTTTCTGTAGAGAGAACGTCACAGCATGTATCGAGGTCGCAATCGTGTGGTGGATGGCCTTCTGTTACTTCTGGTAAAAACCATTCAAAAGCAATACAAACACAACTACTAGTCAAAGTAGTGTATCATAGGTTAGTGTGTCGGAGCGCTTCCGCGTAGTCAGTCTATGCGTGCAGCTTGCCATCATCCGAGCTGTCGTAGTTGGGATCGCCTCGGTCCAACGCACCAGGGGCGTCGGCTTCGGAAGTTCCCAGGACGCTTCCCCAGTTGTGGCCACCGGCGCCGCCTTTTTTGGGTTCTGCGCCCGAGCCAGCGCGACCTCTCGAGTGGCGGTCCTTGTGGTCGTTCTTCTTGTTCTTGAGTTCGCGACTCACAGGCATGTCAAAGGTTGTCGGTGGTGTATTGAGAGCAAATTCGATTATGAGCTCATGACGACAACAGCAGCAGCAGCAGCATCCAACAAGTCATAAAAATAGCCAAGAACAAAAGTACGTTTTAAACACGCAGCCAATCATATGACGAGAAATCCATACGATGCTTTGGATTGGTGCATAGATACGATGTCCTGTCGCAGAGGAGATTATATTCCACCAATCAAATCGTAGGAAATCTAAATGCAAATGCACAAGTTCAACATGCACAACGACGAAGTGGCGGTGAACCTAGCTGTCCATGCTTTACGCCACCGCCGATAATAATTTGCCTTGTGGTTACATAGTGTCACCGGTTGTGGCTAATACAAAACGATGCACGTGTGGCTTATTCCCTCGAATACCTTGTAGTTGTAGCGGTGGTTATACTAGTATTCACGCTAACGTCAGCAAACGTTGGGAATTCTATAGGGAAATCTATCCATTAACCCAAAATTTGGACGTTTGTGCTGATTCGCCAAATCTATTGATCAATTCTTTGATTCGAAGTTGGTGTGGGTAGTCCAATCAAATAGCGGGAAGACAATCGACTAGCCAGTGAAATTGCTTCAATCCTAAATTCCAACCAATGGTAGTCCGGCCAAGGCCAGTTGAACTATTTATATTCAATTTGCGTATGGGATACATTGTATGGTATAAAATTGTGCTTCGAGTCGATTTCTCGAATGAACTGCCGAGTGCAAATATCGGTGAAAAGCACAAGGCTGACTGACTTTTGTACTTCCTCCGTTCCATAAATCTGGCGACATTTCAAAATCCATTTTGTTTCACAAATCTGACGACATTTCCTTGTGATTGGCTAAAATCATGAATGCAAGATTTTCATTAGCCATTGGACAACATGTGATGTGAGTGATGAACGACTCAGAGAGTAAAGACCAACACTCATATCCGGATAGATGACAGCCTACTCAGATTTTGTTAGTCAGATCAAATACAGTAGAACGTTTATCTTTTTGGAATTTCGAAGTCGATTTTGAGAGTCAAAACAGCGTTTCTGCACTTGGGTAACATGTTCGCCACTCTGTCTTCAAATACCTATCAAACAAGCACACATTCACCAAATTTGGACAAAAATTCATATTTTGGGGTCAACACAAAGTCAAATGTCGCAAGATTTGTGGAACAGAGGAAGTATGTAATGATTGTCCAGTGTCACACTAATTTCATTCAGACACTATTTCAATGTTGAATAGTATATTTGATTAGCTACTTGATTCCTGTTCTGGGTTTTGATTGCAGTCAATCGATTGTCTGCCGATTTCGTGCTGCTCCAATTTCGAATCGACTTATAAAGTAACGATTAGCGAGCTGCGGTGCTGTTGCTTCAACAGTATGGTCAACCAACCTACGCTTCACACTAGTAGCTCCATCAACCACATATTCTTGATGTTCGAAGGACTTCACACTAATTTTAGTCACACTTTCATTCAATGTGTTGAATTGTTGACGAGGACCTAACTGGATTGGCCACTGGAATAGTGTTTTGGGTTTCGATTGGTCGATCAATTTTCTGCCTTCATCCCCAATGCTAAAATGAATGACCGGTACAAGTAATACAGTACCGTATCACAGTATTGTCGTTGATTGATGCTATGAAATATAAAACGTGAATAGAACTATTAATATAGAACAACTCAATGTAATCTCAGATCAATCATGCAAATGGAATATTTAAATAAATTGTTCGAATTTAACTACCACCCCATTTCGACACTACTCCCTGTCGTCTCTAGTTTGTGTTTGGTCAAGCTGTGGAGGACGTTGTTCAAGTGGATGGGAAAGAGTTGTCGCTGCTGGGTATGTGACCGGATATCTCTTTCCACGACCAGCCGTGCTGCCACGTCATCCGTGGTGCCCATACCAACACTTCGATATTGGGCTACTTGGGACAGTGGGACAAACCCATCTGCGGACGCAGGCTGGTGGACTGTGTACTGGACCCGGACCAACGTTGTCGAGTCAGTCAACTGGTACAGCACGATCCAGTGATGAAAGTACATGGTCCATGCGTTCTCGGCCAACGGGAACGCATCGTCCACGATGGTCTTGACCAAGATGGCCGTGCGGTGCGGTTCGTTGAATCGGCCTTGGATCCAGTTGAGGCTCATGCGCTGGGTCGCTGTGCCCACCTCTTCCTGGGCGTATTCAACGTCGTTCGAGTCTTCCGTGCCTTTCGGAGTTAGGTCGTGGTAGTTGGTCGCAAAGTCCTGCTTGAGGACGAACTGAGCAAACGTGCGATTGGCGGCCCATACCCCATCCGCTGTCATCGCCAGTGGGAACTCGACCACGAATTGCTGGGTCACGAGTAGCTCGAAATCCATCGTTTGTCGTCCAGACGACCCAAGGGACAACGACGGGTGCCACAAGCAGGTACCTGAGGATAGATCGCTGCGGCTGATGTCCAGGAATGGATCGGTCAGGTTCGGGAACGCAGCTTCTTCCATTGCATGGTCCATGTTGTAGTACATGTGCTGGAGAAGCCACCTTGATCCAATGCGTCTCATGGCGTCGTCGCCTCTAAACAAATGCGCGTGCCGCCAGCAACTTTGAAACGAATTCGGGGGTTTCTAAGAAACAAGTACATTGTTATGTTCGTTAGCTTTTCACAAACCCCCGACACCGGTGCGGGTGCAGGTCATATGTACCGAGGGGGATTCGAGCATGGCCATATGCCGAACCCAAGGCTTGAGCACGCTGCAAAGCCGCTTGTTCGCTTCGACTTGTTGCTCGAGTCGGCGGTTGTCTCGGACTCGGTCTAACGTGTCGTCTTGCAGAGCTCGCGCAACTTCCTCCCATGGAAGGAGCGAGGACTTGCGCCGGCGCTGCTGCTGGCGGCCCTGCCATACCTGCCGCTGTAATGTGTAGGCGTATCGTTTGTAAAACTCGAGCTCCTTGACTTTCTTTGTCTTGATGTGTGCCAGGTTCCTGTACAGCGGATGGGTCTCCATGTCGTCGTGTATGCCGAGGGGGGTGTCGTCCATCCCGGCCGCGTCTTCTTTCGACTGTGGCATGATCGTGGTGGTCGCAGTGTTGTCTATGGCAAATGGGTCAATGAACGCTGTACTGCACCTACCGTAGATCGCTGCTACTACGGCTGCTGTACCTCTGTCAAGAATGTTGTATTCGCGACCTGATCCGACACAACCTTGCCGCTGTTGTGTCGCAAACAGCAATTTCAAACGCAAAACTTGCCAACGAGTTTTTTAATATTACACTGACCATCACACGGTAGACGACGCGAATAGAATTCGATACGAATTAATTTCATAAACATATACTTCCTGATCAGACAATCCCGACCAGAACGTTTGTTATGGCGACAAAACAGTTTAGGTATACAGTACAGATGTATCAATTATCTCAGCCGAAGAACTTGACGTTATTCTAATCTTGCCGTTGGAACTACTCCGCAGCTTTCCATTTGCGAGTAAACTCACTTGTGAACGGGTTTTTTATGACTCGATTAAGTTCTATGTTCACGAACCAATCAAACGGCGTAAAAATATTGACATACAACCCTCGTAAATGCACATCCGGAAAACTCCCTGAGCATTTGTAACCCATACAAATAAATGCCTTCGCTTATCTCTCGAACCTACCGTAATACTATTAATAGTACACTACCCTAAACATAACATTGGGAACCAAAATATGATACTTTGATCAACATGTGCCTCAAATTGACTATCAAGTTGGTACCAAATTTAGTTGTTTTTCACATGTAATACGACTGCAAAACACAATATTTTCTGGACGTGGTTGTAGAGCATTACATAATCAGCTACATTAATCTCCAAGTTTCAGAGGTTGAAAAAGTTGCCTGAGCGTAGAGATTTGGAAATTCTCCCAAGTCACCGTGTCTCAACTGTAAATTGTTTTTTTTACGTTACAGCTAAACGTTACTGAAGTCAGTGCTGAATAACTTACGGTAGTTACAGTCAAGCCTGCTACACTACTGTACTGTAGTGGCGTGCCAGCTTAAAGTTCGTCGACCCTGGAACCATTTACAGTTGCAGTTAATGTGTTGTACTTTCCTCCTGGAGGTACTGTACAAGTCGTTCCTCCTTTAAGTATCCTCTTCTAACAAAGCAAGTGATCTATTCTTGCCCTATTTACCATCAAGTTTTTTTAATTATATTCAAACAATAAGATAACGCTTCAATTTTGTTTTGCGCTAAAATTGGAGTTATAAGGGAAGTAAGCTCTACACAATACTGGTAACGTTACCTCCAATTTGGGGTTATATTCTCTAGATTTGTCCAAGGTACGGCCAAAAAGCGAAAGTCTGGTCTGGATGCCACCCCATAAAATCATGCCATAAACCGTTGTGGCAAGTCTGCAAAAATTTCCCAAAGTATCATATCGCATGAAATAAAGCAGAAAAGTATCCACAAAGTAGTCTGGATGACAGTTGAATTATGGAAAAATTATTCGATTTCCGATTGATGTGAAGACTTCACAGTCACACAAACCTCCACAAAACACCCGATTCTCAAGAAAATTTTGAACCTTGTACGTACAAAATCTCGAAAAACAGAATATTTCGATTTTGGCAACTTTTCTTCGAAAACCGGCCATTTTTTATGGCATAGGGGTCAAAACAAGGGTGAATATGATCACTTTGCGGACACCATTCGGACAATTTCAGTCGGACATACTTGACATTTGTATTGGACTTAAGGGAACATATTCTGTCCGAATGAAATTTGTCCGAACGAATACGTTCGGACATACTTGTGTATTGTATACACCCGCATAAGAACGATCAGCTTTACAGTAGCGAGCGACGACAGAGCATCCGCCCACAAAATTGCGCGCACCGCAGCGTAGCGGAGGTCGTGTGTATAATTTTGAGCAGGCGATGCCTTGGCGAGGAGTGAGCCAAAATCGTTCACTGCGCCGAATGTCCAATCGATTCCTCTTGTGGTACAGCTAAATTTATTCGCATTTAATACGTAAATCCAGTTAAGTGCATGTCCGAAGCACATATCCAGCAAATATTTGTCTGAGTCGTTATGGTATGGTATGGGAAAGAAACGTTTCATTCTCATTATTGGAGGTTCGGTATGAATTTCCGGACCCCGTTCAATCGAATCTCGCCGAGCGAATCGAGCACCAATCTCACCTATTGGTCAATCCAAAATTACTTGTCGCTGATTGAATACTTCGAAGTACAATCCATTTTCGAGTTTCTACTGGAAAGGGCAAAGTGGATAATGGCCAATCAGATGTCTCGGCTCTATTTGTGCTCGATTGAACGAACCATACAAAACTGGGAATTTGAAGAAAATCGACAATACATTTGAAAGTATGGTGCACTTCATCTAAAAACTTCCAACTGGCCAAATCGAGGAGTGAAGGTTTTATTATTTAACGTGCAATTAATGTAGTTAAACTCAAGTTCCAGATACGTTAAATACCGATTTCATGCGTTTTATCACTGGAGTGGGAGGTTAAAGGTCCCAACTGCCTCCGGATATTAAATACGGATAAGAGTCACATACAAAAATCAAGATACATTTGAGCAGCCACCCCTATGGCCAAATATCCAAGCGCCCATGTAAAATACCGCTAGGTTAAATATCTATTTCTGGACCAATTCATCACCAAATTTGAATCTGAGACGTAGAATTTCTTCACCACATTGAGATCTGTCGATTGTACGTCTCAATTTGCTGAAAATTTGAGTAATGAATATGAAATAGAAGTCAGAAAATTTTGTGAAAAGTTGGTTGTTTATAGATGACGTGCACCATATTTATCTACATCTAGTATGTGCCAGCCCTAATGGTCTAGTGGTATGATTCCTGCTTTGGGTGCAGGAGGTCCCGGTTTCGATCACCGGTTGGGGCCACCTTTTTTATTTCAGTCACCACTCAGTGCGACCAAACCAACTCAAAGTAGTGAGCACACCGCTAATGACACATTTGTTGCGAAGGAACAATGTTACATGTACAGCACCTGTAGCTTATACATGCAAAACGATGAAGGGCGTCTAGGTTGTGATCGATAAAACGACGGAATATTCTCCGGTGGCTTTTACGAAAGGAAGTCCGGTACGTGTACCTGGTTTCGCTACGATGGCGGTGGCTCCATTCGCAGGAGAAATAAACATGTCTTCGTTGGTGCGTGGACAGAAGTTACTCCTAGTTAGCTTACATAGCTGACGCTGCTATTATCATCACGCCCAGAACTCGTCTGTCTACATCACGTTACGGACATCAAGGTTGGCGCATCAACCATAACTATTAACGGGATCACAGCTCCGCACGATTTAGCCTCGAGGACAAAGTCAGGCCATATGAGGGCTCAGTGGTTCGCTAGAGCACTAGTGCTACTGCAAGGTACACACACGGGCGAGAGGACGAAACCATAATACCGGTAAAGCTACATCAATTGTTCATTACATTCATTGCAATGAGAGCCCAACATTGACGGATGCGTGAAGATTGTTGATGTTGTTCCAAATATCTAGGCATGACCACAGTACTACATATTATACTGGCATTTCTCTATAGTTTTGTATGTAAGGTATCCCCACTCTGATACCATACCACAGCGGTTCACATTTCATCAGTCAAACTGGACTACAGTGGCCACCAACATCACTGTAACAACCCAACCAACTTGACCATCTCAACACATGCAAGCGCTGTTCAGCTTCGTGGGTCTACTCAAGCTAGTTCTGCGCGAACGTGAGCGTAAAAAGTATGCGTTCGTTGTGTACTTGGTGCATTGCTTGCATTACCTCTGGGCAGCCAAGCGGCCCACGCTCACCCACCAAGATACATCGACCACACGTCAGATCCTGCGCTCGTGTCGCCGTCTCGGTATATCTCCTTGCTCTGGCTCGTACCTGCAAACGTACGTATTGTAGAGCAAAGTACCATCCGACTTGGTACCTGTTTAACGGGTACGTGGTGTGCGTGGAAATCGATTTTTCTATGTATTCTATTGACTGAGGTATAGCCATCTCCAAACGCTTATGGTGGCGTTGTCCGTAACGGCTCCTACGATCACATACGACAGACAGCTCCTGACTCTGTCCGACAGAGGGACGGTGTCACTGGACTGGGCCATTCCAACGACGCACTAAACAAAAAGAAATGGATTTTATTTTAAAAAAATATTTTTTGGAATAATAAAAAACGACAGAACAGCAGACATATCCACGTGGCAGCATGCTGTGCGAGCTCAAACCACTCAACCGACTGCGGTGGGATTAATATTTTTATTATTTTGTTTCTTAATGCTCACGTGAACGATGTGTGTTGTTGGCTGTAGTTTATCTTGCACGGGTTGACTGGCAGCAGCGACGAAGTACGTACAGTAGGTAGATAAATAGTACCCGCCTTGTCACGACCCAGCACTTTTCAGACACATGACTTGTGGTGGTGACCAACTATTTTATTATATTTATATATTTGTATTTTTTCTCGTTCTTGACGGTAGTGTTGCTCTTGGATGATTTGTATAGCCATATACTCGAAAGACGGTGGAGCGGTTATTACACGACGGATGGCGCGTTGTCGTGACGAACGCGCGAGGATGTGGCCGCAACCCGGTACTGCCAACTAACTACATTATTTAATGATTCGTCCTATTTTTTGCGTGAATATAATATATATTTATTGATCGCGATATTTCTACTTGTCGAGCACGGATGGTATTGACGCTGCCGTCCTAACTCTGTTAAAGTACATCCATACATTGAGGTCTTGCAGAGCCTGAGCAATGCCATATAATTCTATATTGACGTCGATTTCACGATACTACTTGTCCATGTCTTGATGTGTGTTTTGTATGCATCTTTCTTTGGGTATATATATATATATATATTGTGCATTTCACCCAAATTTGGACATTTCGCCAAATGCCAAATAGCATTCGAATTCATTTGATTCAATATAAGCTTGTACAAACTATAAAATACAAAGATTAGTACATACTAGTATATAGTTTTGCCCAATGTGGAGGGACTGGGGCCGAATCTAAAGTCTGGATTGGCAGAAATTCGACAGGACATGACATGATTTGATTAGTTCTTTACTCCATTCTCTCTAAAGTCATTGAGGCTCCAGTTTCGAATCGACAATATATATATATTGAGGCTCCAGTTTCGAATCGACAATATATATATATTTGCCATATGTCCTAACTTGCATCTCGAATACCTTCACATTCTCTACTGAGCTTAATATAGTATATATTTTGACGTGGATATGTACCAGTAAATAGACTCTAGAGTTCTGACCATGTCAGCTATCATTCGTATCTCTGTCTACCTTGTGGTTCCCTTCATCCCAGGTCCTGGCTTTTGTTTGTCGTCGATACTCAACCAAGTATCAATCATTAGTACTTTCCCTTGCAAATCCCATATATATATCTTGTCCTGGACACCCACTGTATGTAGTTGTTTTGCCCAGCCTACACCCACGACGACCACGAAGCCATCTCGTACATCGCCATTTGGCCCTTTGCACTCCGTTGATGGGCGTGGGGTGCGCCAACATCCTGTTCAAGTACGTGGGCGAAGAAAGCGCGTCTTGTGTGCTCACGGCGGCCGTGTCTGTGGCTAATCCGTTTGACTTTGTTGTGACGAACCTCCACATCACGCACTCGTGGTTCCATCGCCTTGTGTACAACGCTGCCATGACCAAAAACTTGCTCCAAATGGTGTTTGACGAGGTAAAATCAAGTAAAGTCGGTATCCATCGCTCGATATTGTTGATATCGACGACCTTACGTCGGCATTTCGGATTGGCTGAATAGACTTTTTGTTTTTTTCTGTAAGAGCCAATCAAATCCACTCCATTTTCGAGGGTCGAGTAGAGATTCGAGATTGATACGAGACGGGGGTCTGGCTACTCTATGGACGTACAAGCCCATTGCTTGACGATTCTCTATTATAGTGGATTTATCACATCCTTCCTCTGCCTATATTATGTTTATTTGAATTCTACGTGTTTGCTACTATAGATCTATTCCAGGTACAAGTAGTTTTGTCGGGGAATTTGGCATTTAATTGTCCATTGTTGTGTAGTGTGTGTATGTATGTGGTGGAGTGTTGAAAATATATTTATTACTAGACCCCCTCTTTGATGTACCTACTATTGACTTGGTTATATATATATATATACTAGTATTATTTATGTTGTTATATATCGAACCATGATCAGCCTGACGAGGCCGACGACGGACGACGGGGTTTCCCACGTCTTTCTTTATGCTGTCATGTTTGATCACCATACAGTACTATAAAATGCATGTCCATATTCTTGTTACCGTCCGTTCCAAGCTCTTTTTAACCCAATTCATGCGTAGTCATAGTAGTAGTAGTAGTACCCTCCCTCTACCTAATAAATAAATATATAAATAATATATATATATATATATAAATGTATAAATATAATATAAATATAAAAATATAAATAAAAATGTATATATAATATATAATATATATATATAATACATATATATATAATGTAGTTTGATCAATTCGAAACCCTCTATCCTCTCTAAAACATCCATTTCTCTACCCTAGACCAACGCGCACGAACATTTGACGGACCATCCGGCCGTGGACTTGGCGCGGCTTCGGCAAGTCCAGACGCTGACCGAGTACGACCTCCACGTGAGCCGCCATACATTTGGGTACATCACCCCCATGGACACGTACCGCGATGCGTCGAGCGCCGCGTACATCAAGCACATTGCGATTCCGACGCTGTGCGTCTCTGCCAGAGATGACCCCATCTGCCCACACACTGTGATTCCGTATGACGAGTGCCGATCGAATCCAAACGTCGTGCTTTGCGTGACTCACTCGGGCGGTCACGTTGGCTGCTTTACGAGCGACCACTTGCTGGACGATAAGCCAGGCATGTGGTGCGCCGACGTGATTGCTCAATACTGCTACGGTATGATGGCAAAAGAACAAGACAACGAAATCGAGGCCAGTGTACTACTAGTACATCCTCCAGAACAACGACTCGAACGGCCGGTCAAGCTGGACGATGGACACTGTACGAGTCGTGTCCTACCACCCTATTTGGAATGGGCGCGAGGGGGAGATACTTCGACTTGGGCGAGCTAACTAACTATGCATCTCCATATATATATATATATATGAATGTGTGTGTTATATGGGGTGCCATCAAGAACGATCGGCTGCGACATCGTTTGTCCAGTTTTAGTACTACACTACTAGTACTAGTTTTACTTCTAGTTCAACGAGATCGAATGGCCAAGACGCCACAAGTCAACCCATTTTTTGTTTGACTTGGACTTGAATGGATCTGTCAGACGAGTATTTGTCGGGGATATATATATATATAACTTAACTATGATTCTATACTAGTATACTCGTAACTGAAGTAGTACTATTAATAGTACTAGTAAAAAGTCCTAACATAATGGTGCAAAGGTACGACCAATACGGTATATAAAACCCAATCCGAATCGGTTTTGCCACGTTGTGAGTTGGAACATGTGAAGGGTATGATTGTTTATTATTTATTTCGGAGTATAATTCCGTTTACAGCTTCCATTGTAAAAGTGTAGACATAAATATATAAATATATATATCAATAGATATGGATATATATATTAATAGATATAGGTGATACTATATATATCCTACAGCACACTCGACTCTACTCTCGCACGACACCACCAACTCCATAGTCTTGTAGTATCACCATCACCATCTCGACCACCTACATTCCGCCACATTAGTTTTTTATATATATATATCAATCCGTACAAACCACCACCTCTCTCTTTCACATGTATCAATATCAAGCCCTATAATATATATATATATATATATATATATATATATATATCACAATATGCCCATAAAAAATCCCCATACTCGTATACTATTACCTCGGACAGCGCTTGACGATATAGAGGGTACCCCCCAGCAAACACTTGGCCTTGGATAGTCACTACCCATGGACCTTCCATCAGTACCCTCCATCTTCTTTCGTCCACTTGACGATGGCTGGAGGACTCGGCGGTGGTCGCGGGGGTGCGGAAAAACGAGCTCAGGGCGGAATGCATAATTTTGTGGTTGGTTTGGTGGGTACTAGTAGTAGGTAGGCGACGGCGGTGCAGGGTACTAGTAGTAGTCCTAGTCGCTCCAAATGGACTTTCGTTGTGCTGGGCACGTGGTGCCTCGGTGGGGTTGGTACTGTTTAGCATCGCATCCACCAACTATAAAAAAATACACGTCCATATATTATATTACCTCCTGATATTATATATATATCTTAAAAAATACACCACCCATATAATATATATACATGATATTTCGCTTGACAACGTGTGATGGAGACGAATGCTATAACCATGTAGTAGTACTACTAGTAGTACTAGTTGTATTCGTGGTAGAGCGTGTGATATATATATATATATATAGCATATCACAATCGAGTCCCATAAGCAAGTAGTAGTACTAGACCGAGTGAGATTCCTATGCATACACTCACCACCATGTATATAAAACATCTTTCAATAACGTAATCACTTGTCATATTCAGTAGTACATGATACCAACGATGAGTAATATCCTAATAGTAGTACTAGTAATATTCTAGTACTAGTTGAGCTGTATCCAATACAAATCCCGACACTCTCCACACATAGTACCATGTTTCTCCTACTCGTATATAAATACATCGAGTTTACAGCATCCAATGAAGAAAAAACACAAAACAAACATAACCAGCAGTAGTAGTACTAGTAGTACTAGTAATATATATCCCTACAACCGTACAATTCGTACCTGAATAAACAGTCGAATGGATTTGGCAGATGTCGACAGAGGCAACTCGACGTGCAATCGAAGTGGCCACCATGGCGTCTCTTGAAATAAAACCATCGGCGCATCCATCGATTTACCCGCGGGGACATAAATCTTGGATAACACATCGCATGTTGTGAGCACATATCTACGAAAAAATACCATTAAATACTATTCAGTCGTCGATAAAATCTATATTTACACCCAATCGGTTGATAACTATACGACGAAGCTTCGTTGCTAAAAAATTAAAAATAAATCAAATAAAAATAAATAAAAATAAAAACACTACTGCATGCACTAAATAACATCGATCTCTCAAACGGGTCAAGGATTCCATGAGTGTGTGCTGTTGTGAACATGAAAACGAGCGACATTGATTACTTTATATATATATATATCTACAAATATAATATAGATTCGACCATACCCAATTGGTGCATCTTGCAACACGCCAGTAGGGGCATGGTCCAAGTGCACATGGCGCTTGTGATGGGTATATGTAGTACGACTACTAGTATTACTAGTAGTAGTGGGGATGTCGTCGTCCGCTGGTCGGGTTGGGTTAATCAAGAGCAGTTGCGACCCCGAGATATTGCGCACCTATAAACCAACCAATTATATCCAACGAATTCAAAATAGTTTTTAGGGGTTTCTTTCAATAAATGATCTGGATATATATTTTCCCAAGGCATAATATATATATATATATAGGGGTTTCGTTCAATGAATGATCTGGATATATATTTTCCCAAGGCATAATATATATATATAATGTACCACGGGCACCAGCGCAAGGCCGAATAGGACACATACGCCAGTGTAAAATCCCCTTAAAATGTCGTCCGCGATCCCAGGAAAGACCAAGATGTACAGAAAGTAGAACGTCATGCACAGCACCAGAATCTTCACCACCTAATGGAAGGATGATGAACCAACATGCTTCGCGGGTGGATGGAGATGGAAGTTCGTACTGTGGTGATCTCGAACAGTAGTGTCTTGGCAGAGCCTCGGCGGACGGCCACTTCGCGGATGACGTCGCCCGCTTTGTTCAACCACAACAGCAACGGCACCCCGAAGATCCACAGTGGCCATTGACACAGCAAGGTCGTGAGACGGACGGCCTGCAGCGCGGCGCAGAACAACCCGACGCGAAACAGCCAGTACGTTTCCCACAAGATCATCGTCCGGGCTTCCCCTGGCCACTTCCACCGGTCCGGCGTGAGCGAGTGCAACAGGAAGAACGTTAGGCGCGCCAACGGCATGGCAATCACCAGGGAAAAGAAGAGCAAGAGCACACACAGGTACAGCTGGTACCCCGCATTCATCTCCGTCACCCACCAGTCTTGAAAGTCGGCAGGCGACTTGACGACACACACCTCCACCATCTCGACAAGAGCGGCGGCGGTCTCGCTGTTGGGACAAGGTGAAGCTATGGGTTCGTTCCGCACAGGGATTGGTCCAATTTCTACAAACGAAGCGATTTCATTGGTGGAGTCCATCACCTGTTTTGGCAATTCCAGGGTTAAATTCATTGTTTAAATGTTCTCAGGCTTAAATAACGTCTAAAGTAACTTGAATAACGGTTGGGTGCGTTGTTTAATAGTAAAAATACTTTAAATTACTTCATCTAATGCAATGATTGGTTGGTTGAAGGTAGTTTCGTAGTTGTAACATTAGCACTGTACGTGGAAGGCAAGGGCGCACTACACGATGTATTGTACTCCCATTTCACATCCTAATATGGTATGCATCGTGATGAACTCGTGGTTGCTCTGCGTAAGTTGGCCAGGTGCTGCAACTCGATTACTAGTTAGCGGTTGAAATAAAGGAAGGGTTGTTTTATCTGCTGAAATGCAGGGTTTAGCGTTGTTTTATCTTCAATCGGTCTTATATTATTTTAAACGCCTGGTTCTTTAACAGAGTTAAACAACGGGTAAATTACCTGAAAAGCACAATACATGCGTAATTCATACGTAAGTTAGTATAAATCGGAGGAATGTCGTAAACATTTTGCAGTGATAAATTGCACCAATCACATCGGTGCGTTTGACCACAGATGCACCAGCCTAACGCACTGTCAACCATGCCATCCAACACTGGCGCGACCCATGCCCACACGGACGCGATCCTGATGATTGTCGACAAAACCCTCGCTCGGCGTCGATACTTTCGAGAGAAGCAGCGCGAGCATCGCCGCAAGGTATATGCTGACGAGGCGTTTGTCAAAGCACAGTACGAGCACCTTCAGTCGGTCCTTGATGGCCTTCAAGCAGGCAGGCCGTCGTCAGTGGCGCCGCGTGAAGCAAGCGATGGTCCGTTGTCGTGGCATTCCGTTGCTACCGTGTTCAAAAGAGAAGCGCATCGTGTCTTGAAAGACCGCCAGTCCCTCGTCACTCAAACGCAAGCGTATCAATCCCTCATGCACGCCATGCAACGCTTTGTCATGCTGAACATTCCGGTGCGTGTTCACATTTCCATAGAGACAATCATATGAGATTGTTTCTGGATGTAGCCGCCCATGTCCCGCAGCAATGACGCGTGGCACAGTGCCACGCTGATGGCCGACCCGAGGGCTCGAAACCTGGGCAAGGAGTGGCTCACGCAGCAAATGTACCACAACATACACGAGCCGTTCGCGTTGCTTCCTGCCGTGAGAAATGAAGACGAGTTTGTCCAATATGACTTTCAAGCGTCGGACGAGCACGATGATTCGTTTACGTGGATGCAGCGGGTACAGTTCACGTGGCCTGGAACGATGCAAATGTTTCGGCGTGTGGTCGAGACCAACATGCAGGCGGTGAATTTCCCCAATTTTGTCGAAACGGCAAGTAACTTAGTCGGATGAACGAATGGACGAGGAGGGTCAACCTGATCTTTGTATTTGGTTAGGTGGTGCAAGAGATGACATCCAACACTCGCCTGTTTCACACGATCACTCCTAAAGGAGCGTTCGTGAACACGCTCCAAGGCCACTTCGTCGAAGCCAACCGGTTCATCGTGGTCGAGCGGCAAGTCGAACACGACGAAACATACGTATGCCACCCCCTCCAGCTGCAGCGGCACGACATGTCGTGGTATGTATTTACTGTTCGTTCAGGGGTTGTCAACGGCTCAGCGTTTTCATTGCATGAATAGGACCGAGGTTCGGCAAGTATCGCCAACACACATCTTGGTGCGCTCAGTCGACCGTGTGTCGCACATATTTCGACCCGCCACCGGGTTTTTGAGTGTGGACGAGCTAGCAGCGTTGGTGGACATCGACTTGAAGGGCATGGAAGACGACCAGAAGGATGCGCTCGTGCGGCGCGAAGTGATCCGACGGTCGTACGCGGGTTACTTGTCTTGGCGACAACGTTTCATGGACTTGATGCACCAGAGAGCGACAAACTAATATTCTCTGGCCACACTACTACTGTAGTATATTGTTATGAGACCAATATATTGTCGATTTGATAGTACAAATGTTTGGGGTGCAATCGATCCACAAAATCGATCTGATTGGTTGTTGAATTTCATTGAGGAGGTGGTTTTGATTGGCTAATAATGTTGAGCTCATCGGAGGTAGCCAATCAAATCGGATTTCAATTCCAACGAGAAACCACAACACAATGAAATTTCACTCGAAAGCACAATAGGAACACATGTTCTCTTTAATGGAAGGCAAGTAAGTCGACGAATGCAAATAACCAATGTATGATAACTTTTTCGGAGTAGTCATCGTAGAATTCGCATATCTCCGCTCACACGAAGGCTCATTTAATATGAAAACTGAAGAGATGGCTGCTGGCTATATAACGAGACGTGATGTGTGGCGATTGCACTAATTTAGCGTGCGTGAAGCGACCTCAAACATGCCAAAAAACTGAAATATAGCTTACTTTGGGTGTGATTATATCCCACAATAAGCATCGCAACACTGTGCATGCCGCTTTATTACGTAGTATCAATGCTGCTGTACATGCTACCATGGTCTTGCGTTGATCGGTGATCTCTGAGCCACGAAGCAGCACATTAAAGACTCATTTTGGCGAAAGCTTCAAATATAGCGTGAAAGATTACAAGCAATTATTGTCATCTTGAGCTATAATTTATAGCATACATTGATATGTAATTTATAGCATACATTGATATGTTGTGTTATAACTTTCTAACATTTAAATTTCATATTTTAATATGTTATGCAACCGTTTTGTGTGGAGCAAAGCAACTCAGCGCAATCGATTGAGGACGATGCCAATCCTTCAAAATGGCAATTAAAAGCAGTGCACGTTGCTTTCTTCCTCAGGCTGAACTCAATTTGATTCTAGTGTGTTGTATGGTGAGATGAACTATGCACTGCCATTTCGTTTGAGGATTGTAAAGTTGATCGTTTCCCGCAGCCTCCAGTACATGACTTTGACATCGAATACCTCTGACAGCTTTTCTACGAGCAGTGTAATGAATGCAGATATTGAAACTTTGTTGAGGCTACTCTTCCGAGCCTAGAAATGTGGCGATTGAACCATTGTAGCATGAGGGATGAATCGTCAAAGTAGCCAGCCAAAAAAGGAAAATATAACCTATTTTGCAAGTAAATAAACTCGATTAATATATAATCATAACGACCTCTACAATGCGACATGTTGTAGAGAAAACGCTTGTGAACATGCGAACTGTGAGCCTTGGGTCGATGTGTATATTTTATAGCCCATGTTGAGTGACTTTGAAAGTGTCTGTCTCAAATATTGCATCCAAGTTTACTAACTTTGCTATATTAGCTTCCAAAAAATAACAATACTACAGTACGTAGTACATAACATCGTTTTGAAGTTCTTAAAAATTCTATTCACACCATGATAATAATAATGAACGGTTTTTTGTTTCGAAGAAAAGTGCGCTTCCATGGAGCAAGGACCAAATCATCAGCGAAGGTGCGACGACGAAGGTTTCTATCAACCAGGTGAAGTAAGAACTCATTCGATCGTGTAACATTGCGATTATAGGCATCAAAGCTCCATCGAGTTCATTCGAATATGACCATTTCCCTCCTGGCTAATAGCAATCCGAAACACCAACTGGAAGTATCCCATCTGAAACAGTTGCAAAACAGGGGTAATATTAGTAATCAATAGTACTCGCCCTGTTCTCTATTCACAGTCAATATACCAGTAAAAAGACTTCCGAATCGACAATACTCGGAGTAACTACCGATAGTGAGTACTGGTATTTCATAGTCAATTCACACTGTCAATTCACAAACTACCTTTAGTACCCACCCCACGAAGTCCTTGCTCAAGACATCGTCCCCGTGGCTGTGTGAAAAGTCAACGTACTGTAGATATCGGGTTGCTTTTCTGCTGAGGGCTCCAAAGTCGAATCAATGCGACAACACCACTGGGAATTGTGTTGGCCATACTATAACCTGGTTGTGAATACAACCGTGGTATAATGTTATGGTATACATGGTATACTAGTATACTACTACTAGTAGTATGTAATCTCAACTCCTTACTTTGCCCCCCTAATAAATAGTAATTGGATTGCATTGAAGGCCGGGTCTAGTGGATGCCACGGCAGGTGATATTAACATTCGTCAGTAATAGTAAACGGTTTCGCTGCAGTCACGACAACCACGAACAAAATATCGTGTCACGTCATGGTTGGAAGTATGAATAATTGAACATATATATTACTAATACAACTAGTAACAACAATATATTACCAGTACTTCGAAGTACTACGTAGTACTAGTAGTTTGTACTGCAACCTTCCTTCATTTGATCACATGGATTATTCATAACGTAAAAGTCCAATTTAAGGTGCTCGATCCAATTTAAGGTCGATCCAATTTAAGGTGCAGCGAATTAGCCAATCAATTCCTACAAAGGCAGTTTTTAACCTACCTGCCCAAATAATACGCAAATGGGTATACAAAGACTAAGCTTAAAATGGTGCACCTTCAATTGGACCGCTTGTTTTAAGCTGTAGTGAATGATAAGGAATTATAACAGGAATCATATCGCATTCATAACTCCCGAATAGACCTGGATTTTGGCGTCATGTAACATATTCTAGAATTATAATCCGATACCTACGACTCGAGTTACATGCCTTCCACGGCAGCGTCTCAGATAAAGTGTTCTTAAACTGGAAAATTACGTTAGTACCCTAATTGGTGAAACGAACCCAAAGTTCGCTTGCGGATAAAAACACAATACTATTTTATTACAGTGTAGTGTTAGTTTGCGTGGGGAAAGAACGAGTGCATGGTTTTGGGCTTCTTGGGTTTCCACCCCCCAGTGGACGTAGCGGTGGGTTTTCCAAATTTGGGAATTTTCCTCGCCATCGCTGCGACGGGCGCCGCCAGCTTATTGGCGGCTTCGACATGTCCTTGCAAATCGGGATCTATCCCCACACGCCCAAAGAAGTGGGTCACGTGCTCGAGTGCTTCTTCTGCCACTTGGTACTCTTGGCAGTGGCCTCGTGTCCATTTCGACAACTGACCCGTGTATCGATCATTGCTAGGTGTTGTTGTATACGTGAACATCTATTTTTTAGATGGAATGGACTATATATATATATATATATATATATATATATTTACCGATATCGAGAATCCACGAGAAAGATGGCGCCATAGTCCAAACGATGGCGGATGCATCGACCGAGAGCTTGATTCAACGCTCGGAACGCCTGGTGTTCGTACCATACGCGACCCGGGGCACACGATTTGTCGTATTGGGACCGTTCGTTTTGATATTGCTAATATATATATATATATATATAGTTGGATAAAATATTAATTTTCGACGGTTTCATCCAAATGAAAAATATTCTAAAAAACGGCACAACAAGAACGAGATACTCATGATCTCCCTCATATCCTTCGAAACTTCATACCTTGCGCAATTTATACAGTATATATATTGAATGAGGCAAGGATTTCGAATGATTCAACTTGTATACGATTGTAGTAAACCTCAGATGAAATAATACATTTACTTTAGTTCCTGCACAACCAAATATTCTTAGTTTATAAATCTTATCGAATCTAACCCGTTTACTTCAGTGCGAGGGAGAGGTCAGTAGCGTCTCTAAGTCGTAGTAGGGGCGACAACGAGTATGGGATCACTTCAAGCTACACACAAAACTCCAAAACATGCCAATATGAATGGAAAAAGATTGTACGAAACTGCTCAGCATAAGTCACCCATAGCCTCAAAAGTACGATAGACTTGAGAGAAGGCACACAACTTTTGGACTTACTACACTCCGATTAACTTTAAGCCGCCCCAAACACTGCATATCCACGAATTCACATGCAACTTGGACATTTATGTTCTTAGTACTAGTAGCACCAATACTAGTACTACTAGACCTACTACAATATTCTACTAGAATACGTACTTGTTTGAGTGCAATTTGCTGCTCCTTGATGTTTGGAAACGGAATCCCCACGGCCACAACAGCCCGCGCATTGTCGTTCGAAAAATCAATTCCTTCGCTCACTTTGCCTCGAAATACGGCCAAAAACAGTGCCCCCGTTTTTCTACACAATAATACATACATATATATAACATTAATATCGAATGAAATAATACTGTATGGGTTATTATACTATACATTCATAATAACACGATGCATCTATTGTCGATTTGATACAAATTTGGGGACGGGGTGCAATCAAATCGCGCCGACCAAACCGATCCACAATCGATCGGATTGGTTGAATTTCATTGAGAAGGTTTTGATTGGCTAATAATTTTGAGCTCATCTGAGGTAGCCAATCAAATCGATTTAAATACCAACGAGAAACCACGCCACAACACAATGAAATTTCACTCGAAAGCACAATATATACTTTATTACCAATCGAAAAACTATATGGATCATAGGATACGATTGAATCAAAATTCACAATATACAACTATAGTCATATTAGCTTGTAAAAAAATTAAAAGATAAGACCTACCAACAAATATCGGTATAAAATTATCTCTGGTTACTAAAATAACCCTAATAAGTAAATACACAAAAATACATAGTATATACTACAAAATATGGGTCATACGATACGATTGATCATATATAAATTCACAATACGATACTATATTCACATTCATACCATCTATATATGACATTCGATATGGATTCCCTGTGATTGAATAAAACGTATATTATCAAACGGCGGTAAATGCAATAAAACTACGAAATGTATGGAGATTTTACGTGGCATTGGGCTGGCGGCTGTGGTGAATAGACGTTTTAAACTCGTCCAATAACGCGTCAAAGTCCTTTCCAGCGCCCCGGGGCTCCACAAAACACGTTTTTATTGCCTCCATTTTCGCCATCGTGCCCGTCGTGGTCCATCGGTCACTGAGTAATTGCATGAATCGATACGATGGTAAGAAGACCAACACTCCTCCGGGCACAATGTGGCATAAACTAGAGATACAGTACAAGTGAATATTCATGTTATGGAACTAGTTTTATTATATCACAAGAATATATAGGTGATATACACGTAGTAAATATAGCCATATCGTGACAAAATCCTCATATATAACACGTTGTTCAACGTTACGATTTGTATGTAAATCAAAGGGAACAATAGAAACACTACAAGACTCTAACACACACATGTGTGGATTTACCACAATGCTTGACACTACACAATGATATTGTACCTCAAATTTAGACTTTTGAGCTGATGATATGCCAAATATATCGATTCTTTGGACTGACAGTTGTAGGTAAAGACATCGTCCAGTGTATCACACTCATTTCGGTCACACACTAATCCAATGTTGACTCGAAAAGTGGATTTGATTGGCCACTTGATAAGTGTTGTGGGTTTTGATTGGTCGATATATCGATATTGTCTGCCGAATGTTGGCAATCTCATTCGATTGAGCACCCCCCACTCGGATTTCGAAACGACATGACAATAAATACTTATGATTGAATTAACAATAAATACTTATGATTGAATTAACAATAAATACTTATGATTGAATTAACACAAGCTTGTAAAAAGACACCCTAAACACATGAACACTCTGTCGCAGTTAGATTTCACTACACAACATAGGACAGCAATAATTAGTGTGATGGGCATCTCAGATCTCAACATGAAGAGCATACAAATTTGCCGTACAAATCCTCGATCGACAGAGTTACAAGCCTAATATCCACTCGGTTCCATCGATCGATCCTACGTACTTGAGCACGAGGTCCCCCAGTGCATCTTGATAGGTCAAATCCTGCTGGTTGGCATACGTGGCACTAAAATCGCGATGTTTCGGCGGCCCTTGCACCAGCTACACACAAACCTGACGTAAATATATATATATGTATATATATTGTGAAGTCGCTAGCTATAACCTCCAAACATTCAATAGTCACTATCGTATCACGCTGGATTGGCTGAATATACATACTACAACAACCAATCCGATCCAGACAAAATCCGATTACCCAATCGCATCGATATTTATGGTTCGATTCCACAGTATATATATATATATATATATATATATTGCCAAATCCGTTCCAATTTGGACGACTTCTCAGTTGAATATCTAGCCCATCAAACTACACCATTGCAATATTTGAACCAATAATCGAACACCATACGTTGGTCCCTGCAAAAAGTACATTATGAAATGTGTCTTCCGAATACATTGATTCAAATCAGACACAAATCGAGTCGTGAATCCGCTATCAAGTCCACATTTCAGCGAAATGGACATTATCTTGTACAAATGATCTGTAGTATTACTTTCAATTTCGCCATTCATACGATCAAACCGTGACATTTCATTCGCTACTCCCCAATGAAGACATCAAATTATAGCCAATCAGCGACAAGTCTTTTGACCAATCTAAGAGCACTTTTCTCTTCAACTAGAAAGAAACACTCGTACCGAGCCAAGCCACACTTGTTTGTGCATATTTACAACATGGTTGGCTTCGAGCGTGATGGGAAATGCCGTGCCCAATTCCCCTGCAAACGACGTCATGGGGCTCAGAGTGCCCGATGTCAAGATTACACTGCGCACCTACATCAGAAATAAAAAGGTACTTTGTTGGAAACAATCTAGTACCTAAACGGGAGTTAGGACGTACTTGGGAAGTAATATCGCCAAATGCAACGCCAGCGTAGAGGCACCACACACACGCTTTGTACTCCCAATCCCCCGATCGGCGTCCGTACCCGCGCTGTCGCACGGCTGCCAGTTTGAAGTCGTTGATGTACTGCATCTTGTTGCGGAATAAATAGTCGGCCACATTCAAAATACTCGACAACGCCATCACAGTGGCCATGCCAAGTTTCACTAAACACTACATTTTAGACCCTTCTCCTTGTTGGTTTAGACAGAATTGACGACGAATTAAGTCTATTTTGCGTGGTTTTAAACAGCTAAAATCGTACCTTTTTTCGTAGTTTCGTCGGGGGCGAATTCGCCCTCGGGAATGTTCTCGTCCGTCATCACTACCCACAAAAAACAAAAACATTAGAAACATACTATATATGTCGTACATATACTTGCTCTTATTTTAATATAGTTCGACCTTTCAGAACCATTAACAACATATTGTATCGGCAACCAAGCTAATTAGAATGAAGTGTACGATCATTCGCGTCAATATATATATTTATATATGTATGCATGTAGAATAACTCATGCGAAATCGTATCGAACGCTTTCAATATACAAACAAATGGTTGCCATATCATTTTTAAAATAATATATATATATATATATATATTAATATTTCAATACCAGCTTCCATGGCCATTTTGAAAAAGTCGAGCGATTCGGGGGTTAACCCACAGTATTCACTCAAGATGGCCGCGGCGTCAGGACCACTGTACTGCCGCGTTTCGTATTCGTACCTAACATCACATAGATTAGACATCATGTTTTATAGTAATACTAGTAGTAGCTACTACTACACATTGAACTCTCTGTAACAACACCATGGCAACAAATGTGCATAGTAGCTGGTTGTCTCGGAATAACAAAAAGAAAGTTTGTCATTGACAAAAATACTTAAGAGCATTTTTAACAAGATGTAGTCATACAATAGCTTTTAATCTCAAGCATAAACAAGGTACACACGTACGATAACCAGGATAAAAGATATACTCCTTTGAATAGGGGTAGATCAAAATCATAGCTACAATTCATGGAAATCCTGATACAACTACACGAAAGTATATGGGAGGATTATTTCACCAACATGTTTCGCCTATTGTATAACGAGTCAGTAGAACCGTCCATTGTAGGATTAACCACCCACACCAGTGGATACAGTATAAAAAATATAACAATCGATATAAACGATGCTGCATATTGTCGATTTTCTTCCAATTTCCCATTTCTCCGTGGCTCGTTGAACCCAGCACAACCCGCAACGAGGCATCTGATTGGCTGAAATGCACGTCGCGCTTTCCAATAGAAAAATCGAAATCGAATTATAGCCAACCTCAGCGACAAGTCCTTTTTCAAATGGTTCAACACTGGGAGAGATTGGATTTTGATTCAATCAATCGATATATGGACCATATTCATACCGAATCTCGAATAAGTTTTCAAAAATATTTATAGAAAAATCCGAGGTCCAACATATATATATATAAATAGCTAGCTAGCTAGCTGCAGTGCATACCCCATGGTTCAATCAATCAATCAATCGATGGACCATATTCATACCGAATCTCGAATAATTTTTCAAAAATAGATGGAAAAAATCCTAGGTCCAACATATATATATATATATATATATATATAAATAGTGCATACCCCATGGGTTTAAGCGTCGGCTTGACGTTTGTAAGCCACCGGTTCCATCCGTTGATGAGTTTAAGCAGAGGCTTCAGGTCATGTTTCTTGGAGTCGCTTACGTTAGGGTTCTGCAGCGCAGTCGTGAGGATCTTAGCGCTGTCTTCCAGACTGGCCTGATGCAGCTCAAAGGACGCGGCGTCGCGGCACACATCTTCGATATTATGCGCTTCATCGAAGATTACAACAGCGTTCTTGAGGGTAATCGAGCACGACGATCGGATTTGCGGATCGATGATGTAGTTGTACGGGCAAAACACTAGAAACCGGTCAATTTAGACGATATAAAGCACGCATTGGAAACAATACTAGTATACGGTGGGATAATCAATCAAAGGTTTATATACGTATAATGTGTATTTCGCACCCAATACCTATGTTGGGGGAGTGGAGGATCATCAACACTTAAAGTAACAGTAACGCATTAGTAACAGTAACGCATTACGATTGGACGAAAGAATCAAGGGGTTGCATGGTGATTGGCTAAAAAGAACCAAGGGTGCATGATGATTGGTTAAAAAAGAATGAATGTGGCATATTGAGCAAATCAGAATGAGGGGCTCAAAAGAAAAAAAAGGTTGAGTGAGGATTGGCTAAAACGAGTGAATACCATCCAAGCAGTAAAAATATACGTCGTAAACTTACTGTTAGGTTTATCTACCACGTATATGAGTAAAACTCACAATTATAGTATCGCATATCCGTAGATAGCCATGCTAAGCCCGATACAAACAACAAGAGATGATACAAATACAGTGTCGAGAGAGATAGGGTCATTTTCGTGTACAAGCCACTGTTTTCAACCAATAGGAATCCAGTATGCAGCGCCTTTTCAACCAATCAGAACAAAGCCGTACCGATTTCCGCGATATCTTCTTGCGACCGGGCGTAAAAGTAAGGACATTCCTTCAAATGGTCTCCCAGCGCGACCATATCCTCAATATCCCACACTGGTGGGGCATGTAGTCGGATTTCGTTGCGCTGTTTTCCCTATACAATTTGTCATATAAGTTGGCAACTCGTAGGAATAATGTATTTGATATAAATATTATGATATCCAATATAGAGCATCGTGTCGTCTTTGGCTGTGAAATTACAATTTTACCAGCTGATATTCGGGAATCGATTTGAGTCACAATACAAGCTTATTCAATGCATGGTATAAAAATTGAATAATGTGAACAACGTGAGTTGACGTTCGTAGCAGAATTAGGAGATTCAAAGAGATATTTAACTGGTTGTAGCAGTCTGGAGAATAAAATCATATCTATATCGATTCTAGCTGGGAAATACATTATATGTTATGAATTGGCTACAAATATATATAATGAATTGGCTACAAATGTCCCAATTCTGCGCGATTCGTATAACCAGACACAAATAAATCTCCCCGCGAAGTTTCATTGGCTTTCCCGATGCCGCAGAAAAAAGGAAAAAAATGTAGCCAATCAACGACAAGCATTTTCGCATTGACCAATGGGAGCGATTCAGGATCGGTGTGATCGGCGTGATTTTCGATTGCACGAGGTCCGGATATTCGTACCAAATCAATAATATATATAGCGCTGGTGATTCCTTACCTTGGTTTGAAATCTGCATGTCATCGAGTCTAGCAGGTCGGCGCATTCGTCGGTGAGGTTGCCGCCTTCCAATTTTCGCACACGGGGGTGGACACAGTAATGTTTCTTGGAGCCCAGCAGCGTCATCTTAATTCGACTGGCAAATGGACACTTTTTCAGTTCTTGAATCACCTAATATAATACACACAATCATATATATGTATATATATATATATATATAAGAGCTAGTATTTATATATATACGTTTTGACGTTATCAAAAGGGGTAAAGACGAACCCACGATGAAGAAATCAATGTTAGTCACTGATATAACCACATCAAACACATCTCCATAGCATCACAACATTCATTTCGATATTGTACGTATACAATACCATTTTGTGGCAACGTCGTGTATATATATATATTGTATATATATATATTGTATATATATATATATATATATATTGTATATATATATATTGTATATATATATATATATATATTGTATATATATATATTGTATATATATATATATATATATATATATATATATATATATATATATAGTATATTATAATATGCATTCAATTTTATCGAGACTAGGCATAAACTACTATAGCCTTGAGAT